GACGGACTGACTGACAGACTATTATTTATTTTGTATTTGTTGACGTTTCAAAAGTACCAAACTATGGTTTAATTGAAATAAATGCTTTGACTTTGACTTTGACTATTGTTCCGTAACAGAAATTGCAATAACGTAATGTAGAAGGAGTCAAAGTCAATTATGATAAACTAGCTTCTGTCAGCGTTCCTGTAGTATTTTTTTTAGGAGGGAAAATCATCGAATTACTGCTCCTGCCTGGATGAGGCGGGAGAGAGTGTTAGACTCTTACTGACTAAAAACCACCCGTTCCTTCTCCTGCACGTCGAGCCTGTGGTATAAAACCTAGTCTATGGGTTATTTCAGTCTATATAACCGCTATTCCGAATTTCATTCCGATCCCTTCAGCTATTTTGATGGAAAGGAGTATTAAACATACTAACGTTAGTTTCGCATTTATAACATAAGATTAAACTAAATTGACTAAAATCGCGGGTTACTCACGTGAATATACTGAGAAAAGCTCTACTAGTTTCGAACCACAGAGGGGTTCTTCCTCATGAGCAGCGTGCGCGGTCGCGGCGACATCGCGCAGCTCACTGCACACACACAGTATATTCACGTGAGTAACCCGCGATTTTATTTAATTTAGTATGTCTCACGATAGTTATTATAAAAACACAGGATTAAACTAGATTAAAAACGAACTTCGAAATTCAGTGTATATAACGTTGTAGTGGCACGGTGGTTGAGTAGGCCGCTGAGCAAGTATGAACTTGCAAGTCAAGTGCGTACTAAACAATATAAACACTTTATTTCTAAAAATCAAATAGTCAATCCCATTTTGTATTAATCTGGTTACCAATGCCCATTTCTTCTTCGATTGACTGGAAGCATTTGCTGTCAAAAATAGTAACACAAATACAGGCTGATATTTTTAAAAACACAATAAACTCAAAATCACGTGGTTTTACTAGTATATATTACTAGATATTTGCTCGTTCACAGACATAGGAGCAAACGGTTTGTGGTATTGAGCAAGTAGCGAAGCAAGCAACTAAATGCGGTTCGCTCACAATAGGATTGGTTTCTTGTATTCGATAAGCTCCTGCCTCATCGCCTCATTGGTTCAAAGGTAAAGGTTTTTACATTGCTTTTTGTAACTCAGTTATGATTCCGTGATAGTTTTGGGTCTTGTGTGTTGGAAAATGGGTTAAAAATGTGTTTGAGAGATAAGTAGATTAGAGATGAATGGTTCCTGTCCTGTATAATGATAAAGATTAAAATCAAGTCAAATCATATTATTTGCTGAACAAATTTGCTAAACAGACACACCAGCTGGGTGTTATATTCAGTTGTGCAGAAGTTTTGGGGTTTAATATTATAATGGACTCTAAGACTTCTGTCATAATGCCTTTTTTCTACAGAAGTATTATTATACATCTGTATGTATAATAATACGTGTACCGAACCAAAGTACGTACGTACGTAGAAACAGAACTTACAGAAGTTTGGTACGTAGACGTACCAAACTTCTGTAAGTTAGAAGTAATAAAGATGAATACTGAGATTGCACGGATGGTGCAGTGGCTGGGCAACCGGCTGCCGCGCTGCGTGTCGCGGGTTCGATTCCCGCACGGAACAACACTTTGTATGATCCACAAATTGTTGTTTCGGGTCTGGGTGTCATGTGTATGTGAACTTGTATGTTTATAAACGCACCCATGACACATGAGATAATGCTAGTGTGGGGCAACGTTTTTTTAAAAAAGAAAAAAATATGATAAAAGAATACGATATAATAGAAATAAGAATCAAATCAAATCAAATCAAATCAAATTTATTCGCAAAAACATGTGTATACATACACACACACGCAGGTGCATGTATGTAGGATGATAAAAAATAGAACAGTTGCACTTAATACATGTTTACCACTTGTCATGGCATGCAAATTTTTTTGTAAGTAATAATCATATTATCAGCGTTAAATATTTATAAATGTCAAATAAAATTGTATGTAGGTAGGTATGTCAAAATTAAAATTATAGATACAGTTATGTCATAATTAAATTCGTACAATATGTCACACTCATAGTAAGAATCACATAACCAATGAAACAATCACAACCAATAAAATAATCATAATTTATAAAATAATAGCCATGTCTTACTTCAATCAAATAACTGTGTCATTTAAGAATTCGGTGACACTATAGTAGACCTTCTGTAATAAAAAAAGTCTAAGCTTTCGCTTGATATGGTTGGCACCTAGTTCTCTCCATGATTTTGGCAATTTGTTAAATATTATAGGTGCCATGCAAAATACATTTCTGCGCATAAGCGCGGTCTTACAAGGATGAAGACAAAGTTTTGTGTAATCACGCCTGTTGCGCTGAGTTTTATCCTCAAGACGCGGAAATAAATGAGAATTATACAAACAAATAAAACTATTTCGAGAATGTATAACGATGGCATTGTGAGAATCCTATACTGTTCAAAGTATGGCCTGCAACTATCAGTAACTTTAAGTGTAAACATTGATCTCAGACATCTTTTCTGTGCCCTAAAAATGGTTGCCCATTCCACTGAATTGCCCCAAAAAATGATCCCGTAACGGAGAATAGATTCAGCTAATCCGTAGTACGCAATTAATAACGTGTTTATATGTATTGTTTGAGACAATCTGTGTAAAGCATATGCTCTATTACTTAATTGTTTCGCAAGTTTTTCTATATGAGCTTTCCAGTTCAGATTTTGGTCTATTGTTAAACCCAAAAATTTTGTTGATGTTACTGATTCAATAGTATTATTTCTATATGTAATGTCCGAACTAATTGATGCATTCGGTCTTGTACTATAGTGCATGATAACAGTTTTACTCAGATTAATTTTTAGGTTATTATTGTTTAACCAGTCTATGGCATTAATTAAACTACTATTTATGTCATTGTTGTATTCTTCGCTTATTCTACATGGTATGGTTATAGTGCTATCATCCGCGAAAAGTGACATGGTATGTTCTATACTTTTCGGAAAGTCATTTATATATCGTAAATAAAAGGGGGCCTAAAACACTTCCCTGTGGAACGCCATATGTCACTTGACGTTCATGTGATGTATATATTTCCTCTCGTTTAGTTTTACTATTGAGTCTACTGATTTCTGTAACTTGCCTTCTATTTGATAAATAAGATTTTAAAAGATTTTGTATATTTCCTCGTACCCCATAATTTTCCATTTTTTTTAGTAGGGTATTATGATGCACATAGTCAAAGGCTTGGGTCATATCACAGAAAATCGAACATACTGGATTTTTTTTATCTACATTGACCATCACTTTATAAAGAAAGTCATAGATGCCATGTTTATACTTTTATTTGCCCTGAAACCTTTTTGTTCGTCACAAAATAACTTATGTTTTTCAAAATATGTATTTAACTCTTTGTATATGTATTTTTCAAATATTTTAGAAATAATTGGTATCAGCGAAATTGGTCTATAATTTTCCATTAGTTCCCTATTTTGTTTTTTAAATAATGGCTTTATTATAGATTTCTTTAAGGCGGCTGGAAATATACCTTTACTAATGCTTAGGTTTATTATATGACTTAAAGGTTGGCATACTTCGTATGATACTTCTTTAATAATCTTAGTATTAAAACCATCGCATCCTACGCTGTTAGTATTTTTCAAAGATTTAATAATTTTTACTATGTCTTGTGGCACACTCGGAGCCATAAACATTGAGTCCTTTTTACTTGTAATATATTTACAAATTCCAGTGCAATGCAAGTGGGATGGTTGGATTTTATCAACAAAATAGTTATTAAATAAGTTACTTATTTCGCTAGGATTTGTTATGCATTTATGTTCAAGACGGATTTTGTTTATGTTATGTTTAGGTATATTGAATTTTGTACTATTAATTATTTGCCAGGAAGTTTTTGTTTTGTTCAATGATGTTTTTATTTTTTATAAGTATTTTGTGCAAATTTTGTCTTATTAACAATTGTTCTGAACAGTTTAGAATATTTTTTTAACTCGTTTCTATTCTGAATGGTCGGTTTTACTCGGTACTTCCACAGCAGTGTTCGTTTCTTTTTACTACAAAGCTTTATCCCACGTGATATCCATTTCTGTTTTTTATGTACATTTATTGATACCAAAGACTCAGGAAAACATTGATTATAAAAGAACGAAAATATTTCACTGAAGGTATTGTATGCTTCATTGGGGTCATTGGATTGATAAATATCTGTGAAGTGTAGACTTTTAATATAGGACTTAAACTTTTTTAAATTATCTGCACTATAGTTTCTTTTAATTGTACGCCATCGATCAATAGAACAAGCTACATCCACTGGACATTTAAGGATTTGCGCCGTATGATCAGACAGTGCAAGCTCCAATACTGAAGCCCTACAAGACTTTAAGTTATGGGCGAAATTATCAATACAAGTCTGACTCTTCAGACGAGTCGGCTGTTTTAACGCTAAAGTTAAGTTATAATTCAGTAATAGGCATTCAAAATCAATAGTTTGCTTGTTTTTCGCAAGTACATTAATATTAAAATCACCTGCAATAATCACATGTTTAAAAGATTTTTTTAAAAGATATTCACTAATGTCTCTAATTTTTCCATACAAACGTTAAAGTTATTTAACTTTGGCACCCTGTATACACACACTATGACGGTATTATGATTGATTAGTTCCACAGCACAACATTCAAATACACCGGTTGTGGATATCTGTGACACTTTTGTTATTTCCTTGCATTGGTGTCTCTTTTCTACGAGTATGCATGCACCACCTCTCTTACTTTCTTTGCGACTATAACATGCAGCTAGGTAGTAGTTAGGGACGTCGATATGATTAACGTGGTCCTCCACAACAAAGTGCTCAGTCAAGCAAAGGACGTCTACTTTCGTATTTCGCTCTTTTAGTTCTTGTAGACATACAGACAAGCTATCAGCTTTTGATAGTAATCCGGCAATATTTTGGTGCATTATATTTATATAGTTATTCACGAAAAAATGTGCAATCGATCACACCTTGACTCTCTTGGTTGTTTGAGCATTGATCATTCGAAGATGCTGTCAATTCTTCCGATATTCCTGTTATGAAGTCAATAACGTCTTTAAATATGATTGACATACCATAATTGTTAACTGTTCCATTAGTTTTGTGAAACATTTCACCCCATCGAAGATTTTTGTTGGTGTCCAGGAAGTATGCATACTCGTACTGCAGTACGTCCAAGTACAATTTATTATTGAAGTTCTGTACTCGCCAGTTATACATACTACCTATATGCGAGCCGCATTTGTATGTCGGTGCGCATATAATTATGTTTGTGAATTTCTGTCTTTGTAAAGTCTGTTTCAATTTTGATATAATATAAATGTAATCTTTAGTTGTATTAAAATCTTCTTCGCCTATCATTAATACACAGAAGTCGTTCATTGTCATTCCATGTAATTTAATTTCAATGTTTTTTATTAGTTGTTCAGTATTAGAGTTTGGTAACAAGTAATGACATAATTTATATTTGTCAGGGAAGGTATTTTCGGCTATAGTTAATATTTTATTTTTCTTGTTACTGCTCACTATATGTATTGTATTTAATTTCTTGGTGAGCTTGTTTTGCGTTTGTGTTACGGGATAGGTCTTACGTAGATGATCAGTGGCTGTGTGCTTTGAGTTTGCGTCATCACAACTTTCGGTTAGAACTGGTGACATTGGATACATTGTGGTTTGTGTATTGGCACTTTTCATTTTTCCCTTTTTTGTTTTAGTTTGGACAGGTTTATTTGGAGTATTTTTCTTTCTGGGACTGCATGATATTGTATTGTAAAACTTATTCTTTCTTAGTAGTTCATCATTAGTTTGTTTGAGACTACTATTTTCTAAAGATAATGATTCAATTTCTAAGTGGGCACTTTTAAGTTCCTGCTCAAGGTTTTGAATTCGTTGTTTTAATTGTGTAATTTGTTCATTATCGGCGTCAACGGATAGGTCAGGCATACTTCCCATGCTATTATCGTCGTTGTGGGTACTCGTCGAAAACTGGCTACTATTTATTAAGTTCGAGTCGGAATTTGTTCGCCTTCGTCGCAGTGTAATGTTTTCAAAGAAGCTCATCATTGCTAGATAATATTTATTCAATGTTAGAAATCAAGAACACATGCGCCAAAAAGAATTTCATTTAGTGGGGCGCGAACCGGAGCGCACGGTATCGCCAGTCTAATGCACATTCACATCGGCCGAACGTGCTGTGTGTTAACTTGTGAAATTAAGGGTCTGTTTCTATTTTATTTCGTTTTGTATTAACATGACGTATTGCTGAGCCGATATTTAAAAAACAGCCGTTTGAAATTTTTCACATAACATTCTATTTAAAGGATTTTTCCACATATTTACATAGTCTTAAGTATAGTTAACAACTTTTTAGTATTTTGATTAAGTTTTTTCACACTACGTAGTCCTTTTAAGCACTTAAATATCTTCTTCACTTTGTTTCATTTTATCACGTACGAAAATTTATTTAATAGTTAAGTAACACTACTGATAACATTGTCACAGGATTTCCACACGGTAGACTTCACAATCATTACACAGTTTATGAATTTAAAACGATTAAACTATTTTTAAAGAAATAAACAAAAACTCATATAAAAATCCACAGTGTTTATGTTACAGCGCCCTCTGGCGGACTAAATCATTGTATCTTCGTGATACTGTAGTACCATGTCTTCTAGAACTGACGTAGTACTCACAATGCTTCAGTATGAGACCTTTACGTTCTGGTACGAGCTCTACACTTATAACATCTGTTGCTTCCAATTCTTCAAATGTCACCTCCTCGGTCACCACTGACATAATACACTCTTTTGTATGACGGCTTCTTTTGGACAAACTATTATCTTAAACGAGGTACCAAGTTAGTTTTTACTAAAATGTTTGCAAGCAACAGGTCATCCGGTGTATCAATCTCTAAACTTTCTGAGCCACTAACTTCTATCACCGTACAACTAAAAATAAAATACAATACAAGTAATTAGACAACTAGTATTTCATACACATCAGATATAATAACTTGTTAAAAAATCGCAATAAAACAAACTATTTACGATAAAGTTTTATACGTGAGATGACGTCCATCCCACAACATGTCAAATGTCAAAAGAAGTAACAAGAAGTTCTGTGAGTATAATTCGTATGCTCGTATGTTATTTATGAAAGTTTTCGTAAATTATTCATAAAAAGCAGATAATTATGTCATTTAGAACTTAGCTATTATTGGATCATTTTAATTTTTTTGTCATTCTTAGAATTTTTCCTACTATTGTTGTTTTTTTTTTTCATTTTTTTTCTCAATAATAATATTTTTATTGCGGGATAAATGCCATTAGTGGGGAAAATTTAAAATAATAGATATGATCACAAAATAGTCAAGCAGAAAAACTGCTTCACTGATCTTAGTTGCAGTTTTATCTTCTTCAACAAACTTGGACGTCACTGAAAACTTGCTTCATGCAAATCCAAGATGGGAACCATGGAGTTGATTAACGCATTATCAAACTCGGAATCCCCGTTGGCTACAGCCCAGTCTGCGGTTGACCATTATTCTGAAACTTTGCAAGTTTCTAGACTTATCTTGGCTTTTACTTCTTAGAACAACTTTAGATCATCCGATTGTTGCTCAAAAATATTTTATTATCAAAAGTAACATGACATCACGCCTTTTATCCCCGAAAGAATAGGTAGAAGGTTAATGATACACTTAATGCTAATGTACAATAATGTAACACACACTTTTCACTATTAATGTAATGAGTCCTATGCGATAGGTGGTGAGGCTATTGCCATATACTAGGCTCCGTGTTTCTGATGAGATTTTGAGATTTTGTTTTCAAAGTAGGTACTACTGAATACTTTGTCCGACCCGGGAATCGAACCCGAGATCCCTTGCCCGGCAGTCGCACTTGCGACTACTCGGCCAACGAGGCAATCCAAAATGCAATAAGACTAAAATTGGAGTAAAATTTGGATTCCTAATTTACTTATGAGTCTAGAAACTTTTCAGCATAGTCCAGTAAAACTCTTTATTTGACCCTTAATTTATAAGTCTATGTGTAATAATAGAAGACGAATAAGTCTACAAACTTGTCATCCTTGTAAGTTACAAACTTTATTATATTTAAATAAAATAGCTACCTATGTATGTATATTTACTTAGTAGTAGTACGTAGTCAGGAACTGTGCCCGGTATATGGAAATAGGCTCAATACCTATTACATGGGATTTATAATACAAACAGTGACACGTGGGTTAGTTACATTATAAGTGGTATTCAGTGCCATAATGTGCCTACACCTCTGCCAACCCCTTCGAAGATAAAATGTGTGATGATATTTTATTAACACAACGACTAATCGTACCAAATAAACAACATCCGTCATTAATACATTTATACAAATTCCAAATTAAATAAATAATTTAGAATATTTTCTACATTATTGTGGTAATCCAATGCAGTTAATTATTTGACAATAATTTTAGTACTCCATTATTAAAATGGCGGCTGTACATTTTATTAATTAATTATTCAAACAGAACCTGTATTGAATCGTGATTGTAATACAATTGCATGCATTTAGAATTTAAATATTTGCTGTTTATTCTCTACTTCGATATTATAAAATCGTACAATCGACTAATTTTAACCATACCTTTTTACTCACATTTATTGGCTTTGGTAACTATATCATTCTTTCAAAATTTTAAATGATTTACACAAAGGGGGTCCAAATCAAATTTGTTGATTTGCTTATATACGGACAATTTGTTTGTATATGTCGATGATATTTTTTTATAAAGTGTTAATAACAGGTGTATAATAACCCTCTAAAATATTATATAAAGTACAATGGAGGTGAATGTTCATGTAAATAAAAACCCCATACCAGATAAAGATTATAAAAAATATATACGGAAAATGGACGCTTACATATTAGTATTCAACCGCATGGCTTGTTTCGTTATTTTAATGAGTTTTGCATTTAGAAGGAGATCTTATTTGCTAAAATAAAAATAACATAATTGTATTATTATACAATATTATTCCAGCTGTCCAGTTGCATACGTGTGTAGGAATATAATAAGTTTACTTTATGCACATTTTACTTTAATATTTATGAAGTGCTAGATAATAGGTTCAGCTAATATGAGAGTACCGAAATATAGGATTTCGTGTTGAAAAGTGGACAAAAAATAATATTTCAATTTTTTTTTCTTTTTTTTAAGGAAACGTGACCCAAAACTTGTATTTACTCCTGTGTTGTGGGTGCGTTTTACAAACATACAAGTTTACATGCACATGACACCCAGACCTCTAACAACAATCTGTGGATCACACAAAGAGTTGTTCTGTGTGGGAATCGAACCCGCGACTCGATGCGCGGCTGCCAGTTGCCGTGCCGTCATCACAATATTATATACATGTAACAATAATTTTCACAACAATAGAAGTAACAAAAAATGTTCTATTATTTTCAACATCTGGACTGAGTTACTTTTAATAACACGTTCACTCACAAAAATTAATTGAGAAATGAAGACTTTGGCTTGACGAAGACGTTTCCTACATCAATTTCTTTCACCCTCCATCGTTCTCACAAGCACTCTAATTTTCTCGCCGTCCCAAAAATCATCATGAAAATTTAACACAGAAAATTAACTCCAGCGTTTTCCTGACTAGCTCGTGAACGTTTTCGCGCATCACTACCTTTAGCCAATTTCTGGAAAGTTAATCTCAAAACATCGTGCACTTGCGAGCTATGTATTTTAATTTAGCCAGTTTCGCAGCGTGACACGTACCTCTTAATTAACTCGGAAGACAGTTTATTACCTACAACGTTTATTTTATCTTCGCAAAATGCGAAGAAAGTGCCTCGGGAGTGTTTACTGGCTCAGTAACGATGAGGTCCTAGGTACACTGCTAGGGAGGAGGCTGTTGCGGTGTTTTCTTACATAATATCACTAATGGCGGCTAATAAGGTAGTCTAAAGGTTCAAATAGGTTTTGTGGAACGTTGGACGAAGTTTCATGGCTTAATTTACTTTTCTTAACACGTTGAACGCCATGGGGGTCACCGGTGACCGGCGTTAGCGGAGGATTTACCTTCAACAGTTTTTTATTGGCAGTTAAAATACGTTATGGAACAAGAGTGTTACAGTGGGTTGTCGTCTTTTATTTTTACTAGTAAAAGTTTTAAATATAATGCTACAACTTCATGTAAAATAATATACAGCTGCCACCTGTTTTCACCAAAAATCCATGAATTTCTTCTTTGCATAACTCCATAACCATTAACTTTCCAATACAGAGTGATCGAAACTATTAGGGGACCGAGCTGGACAAATTTTCAAGTTTTCAGCCCCAGTAAGAACTTCTATTAGGTTTCACACGTGAAGATGCTATATTTGACGAATACTGAGATAACTAAACAAACAAAATTCGACCTTACCACTACTAGATACGGTCTTCGCAACTTTTTACCCAACTGCATATTCCGATTTTGTCAAATCATTACACAACAAACTTGTGAATGCGCTTAGAAAACTGTATTGTCACCCTTATGCTACGGTTATAAGGTTTAGCGATATAATTTGATCTAGGGAGTTGGGTTCTGGTAGTCGATCGTTAATAAATTTTAGAAAACTTTTAATGGGCGCCGCCGCCGAGAAGTTTTAATTTTCGATGGGTGGAACTTTTTTCCCTTGACTTTGTACTTGGGGAAACATTTTGAGCGATGTTATAATTTCGTGTGGTAAGTACTGACGATTCGGGGAAAGTTTTTAATTTAAATTTGCGATAGTACAAGTTTTCATGTTATTAGAATTTATGCGTAAAAATTGAAGACGATTATGATAATTTGAGTACTTTGTGTTTATTTTATTTCTTTTGTGCAAATTTTTTTTTTTATTCTTACGACAGTTTTTTTTTGACAAAATGACAATGTCACTATAGTAATAATCGGTGAAAGCGGCCGAGGTCGTGTGCTGAGCATGTCTGTCATAAAGTTTTATTACACCGCGTGACTATGAAGATAGTGTTTGAAAACTGCCTCGTAGGAAGTT